GAAGAGAAAGTATGGGGTTGCTGGCCTTTCGGGGCATAGAAGTTTCTGGTCCCTCGTTGCTGCCACGGGGGATCCAGGGTTGATGGCCATTTACGCCATCCTTGAGACTGGGCCTGTGTGCAAAAGCTGAGTTTGAGATTTTCCCCACCCTTGCTGAGCCGAGGTCCATCGTAAAAATCATAGCACATCACAGGGGCGAATTTCCCAACCAGCGAAGGAGGGGGAGGGAGGGGGAGGGAAGGCCAGGGAGGAGAGGGATTCATAGCAATAAGGATAATCAGTACCAATTCATCTTTTTAAAAATTTTTTGATGTTTTATTTATTTTGAGACACAGAGAGACAGAGTACGAGCAGGGAAGGGGCAGAGAGAGAGGGAGACACAGAATCCGAAGCAGGTTCCGGGCTCTGAGCTGTCAGCACAGAGCCCGACGCGGGGCTCGAACCCATGAACCATCTGATCATGACCTGAGCCGAAGTCGGACGCTCAACTGACTGAGCCACCCAGGCTCCCCACCAGTTCATCTTTTTATCAGCCAACAGTCATGGTTCTACATACAACAGGCACAGTGCTAAGCATGCTTGATACTCACTGTCTCATCGAATGCTGACTCAACCAACCCCCCGGGGGTGGGGGGACCCCCTCTTGTCATCCTCATTCCATAGATGATCAAATGGAGGGTCAAAGAGGTTAAGTGACTTGCCCAAGGTCACGGGAGCAGTAAGTGGCCAAGTGAATTTTCTAAGCCAGGTCAGGTAGAGAACAAAGGTGAGGTTCTCACAACTGCCTGTGTGTGCGCGTGTGTGTTGTATGTATGCGTATATTGTATGTGCATGTCTGCGTGTGTACGTGTATATTGTACGTGTGTGTGCGCATGTGCCTGTGTGTGCTGTGTTAACAAGCGAATAATAATTCACACCACCACATCTTCCCCCACCGAGGGGAACAAGCCAGCGAGGACCAATCCCAGAAGGTGGAGACGGAGAAGCATCCGGGCATCTCCTTGTTTCTGAGGTAGAATGTTCCATGATTAGCCGTTGGCCAACTGGAACCGGTACCCAGCTGTGTCCCTCCTGGGCCAAGGTCACTCCTCAACAGACCTCCATCCCTTCATCCTCAAAGCACACACACGGGGTGACCCAGCTTCTTCCTAAACTCGATTGACAATGCCCTCCCCCCCCAAATAGACTAGATTCTATTTTACTAATTCCATTCTTAATTGCAAAGATAATTCCCCGTCGTCACACCAAAGAATGGACACATATCCAGAAGCACAAAGAAAACGGAAGCACTCACGATCCTGCCGCGAGCATTACTGTGTGATACCAACCAACAGTTGTGTTTCCCCTGGACCCTTGTACGAATGCGGTTGTGTTTAATACCTGTGCGGGGGGGCCAGTTGCAACCAACTTCTCTTAACGTACAATGTACCTAAGTATCCTTTTCAGATCGTTGTCACAAATGTGTGTTTTTTTTTAATAAGCCACGTCGTATTCCACCGTGTAGACGTACCCTAATTTATTTAACCAGCACTGACTGTCTTGATGGATAATAAGGCTGTCTCCAGTTTGGCAGGATTTATTTTTTTAAGTTTATTTACTTATTTTTGAGACAGAGAGAAAAAACGAGTGGAGGAGGGGCAGAGAGACGGGGACAGAGGATCCGAAGCAGGCTCTGTGCTGAGAGCAGAGAGGCCCGTCAGGGGCTCGAATTCACCAACCGTGCGATGGTGACCTGAGCCAAAGTCAGACCTTAACCTGCTGAGCCACCCAGGCGCCCCTCCAGTTTTGTAGGACTTAAAAACTCATGACGAACGTCCCCCAAAATAAGTAGGATGCACATTCCTGATTATTTCCTTTGGACCAATTCCTCGAAGTGGGGTCCTCAGATTAACTGATTAGCACAATTTTAAGGCTTCTGATACAGTTTGCCAAATTCTCCTCTTAAAGGGTTTATCTATTGGGTGGGGGGGGGGCTCTGGGTGGCTCAGTTGGTTAAGCGTCTGACTTTGGCTCAGGTCATGCTCTCACAGTTCGTGAGTTCGAGCCCCGCGACGGGCTTTCTACTGTCAGCACAGAGCCCGCTTCAAACCCTCTGTCCCCCATCTCTCTCTGCCCCTTCTCTGCTGGTGCTCTCTCTCTCTCTCTTTCAAAAAAAAAAAAAAAAAAAAAAGGTTTATCTATGTTCATTCCAGCCAGCAGTTTCTGGGATTTATTTTCTCATTAGCAATCGTATCATCATTTGTTATATATACATTTGCTAACTCAATGAATAAAAGTTATGTCTCACTTGCATTTCATTGATTATAATCTGTCTTCTTAGGCATTGATTCAGCATTACTACAGTAAGCACTTTACTGGACATTTCTACAGATATCACTGGGGTGTTGGGGGTGTTCCGAACCTCTCTGAGCTCAAGAATACTAATGATCTGAGTCTCTGAAAGATCTGGTGATCCTTCTGGTGACCCCAGGACTTTGAGCCCTGCTCTCACGTACCCAGTGTTGGACCAGGAAGCCGGGAGAATGCTGTCACACTCCTCTCTCAAGTCCAAAAAAGCCTCCCAGATCAGAGATCCAGACCGTCCTCTGGGAACTAACTGGAAAAGAGCCTGACCCAACGAGCAGGTGTTCAACAAGGGAGGATGTCTACCACACAGGGTGGGACCTGAGCAAATGTTTGTTGAATAAATGAATGTAAAGTAGGTCATCGTTACCCATTCATGAACCCGCAGCTCCTTCCTTCATCATTGTTTCTGCCTCAGGACCTTTGCACGAGCCAGAAGTGCCCTCTGCCTTGAAATGCTTCTCCTCCCAACTTTTTACCTGGTTCATTCCTACTCAGCGTTCGGGGCTCAACTCAGAAGTCACCTCCTCCAGACCACATTAGGACTCTTTATCTTATCCTTTTGTGACATTGTGCATTCTACCTTTATAGGTCTTCCTTTTTTTTTTTTTTAATTTTCTTTTAATGTTTTATTTATTTCTGAGAGTGAGAGACAGCACGAGCAGGGGAGGGTCAGAGAGAGAGGGAGACACAGAATCCAAAACAGGCTCCAGGCTCTGAGCTGTTAGCACAGAGCCCGACGTGGGGCTCAAACCCACGAACTGTGAGATCATGACCTGAGCTGAAGTCAGATGCTTAACCGACTGAGCCACCCAGGCGCCCCTATAGGTCTTCCTACCTTTGCAATCCACTGATTCTGAAGATGATCACCCAAGGGCTGTTTCTCTCACTAAAGCTTAAGTTCCAGAAGAGTACAACCTCTATCACCTTGTTCACTTCCACGTCCTCAGTATTTGCACATGTCCAGGTCAGAGCAAGCATCCACTAAACATATCACAGGAATATAGTACTTTACGGCGTGTCTCCTGACATCGGCATCATGATAAAACTACGTGAATATTTAGATAGGACATCCTTAAGCCTACCGATTCAGTGAGAAGATCCTTTGTAACCATTGTTTGCAACCCAAAGAAGTTAACTTGTATCTGTTATGGGATGAGACGTCCCTTCTCTGATTTATGAAACTTGTCCTGAACATGGGTCTAATCATTTTCCAATGGCGGCAACTGTTTGAGTGCTGTTCCGGAGGGGTGTTAATTCAGTATTCTTGTGATGTTCTTGGGAAAAAAAATAAGGCTGACTGGCTACTTTGTGTAGTTGGTGAATCCGTTTGGGAAGCTAATTTTTCCAAAGGCAACCTTTTTATTTTCTTTTTTTAGCCCGTCAGAAGAAATAACTATTTAGAGTACAGTCAGAATTTATTCAGCGAAACTTTACTAATTCATTCTTTACAGGGACAGGAACGCCACTGACCTAGCTTCTCCACTGTGCCTAAAAGGAGCTGAATTGTCATTTCTGTATAATCAGGTCACACTTCTTGGGAGTTCCCTGCCTACGAAAGGCTCCAGGGGATCTGACTAAATAAATCACTTGTAATCAACAATCCAGGTGTTTCTGTTTCAAAGGGATGTGATCTCTTTGATGGTTCTTGATCATTTGAAAGGTGCAGGCACTGAAATTTCTAAAAGTGTTTTAAAACTGCGCCATGAATTTACTCACAAATTTGTCGCTCTGTTCTGCCCTGTGCGTGTTCTACAGGAAGAACTCACCAATCTCTCACATTCGTGGCTTTTAAATAAATATCCATGGAAGGCCCATAAGGTTGCCTGCATCAGGACCCCCAGCAATTAAGTCAAAGAAAGAGATCTTTCGGAAAATCCAGGACGAGGTGTTAGACACAGTGTGACCGACATCTTTTGATCAGCTGAGATTCCTGACGATTTTTCTTTTCTGATGCTGGCACAAATTCAATGAAAATCAGTAACTCCATTGCAGGGATACAGGCCAGCGGATAAATATACTCACAGCTCCGCCACACTCACGTACAAGATCCCAAACACCCCCCGAGAGGTGTCCCCAGGAGGATAAAGAAAATGGGGCAAAAAGCACACGTGCAAGACAATCTCTTCCTCTTTCCTCCACCGAATTTCCCCTCTCGTCAGTCAGTAGGAAGAACGGGGGTAGAAAAAGGGGGGGAACCCAAGTCCCTTGTACTTTTTGAAGCACATGGTATTTATTAGGCATTAATTGGCACACAAATACACAAAATGAGTACTTAATTCTTACCCCACCCCCGTAGCAACATCAAAACACGTAATCGCATGAAGATGCTCACGTACAAACATACTCACACACTCGCACGTACTTGGACATATTTAGCCTCACATATTACCCTGTTCTCTTTATTAGGGTCAGCTTAAAAAACGAAAACACTTTTTTTTTTTTTAATCAAGAAAGCAAAGCACATTCGAAAGAAAAAAAAACGCGAACTTGGTTTTGAGTATTAATAAAATTAAAAGCTCTTGGCCAGCTCCTATGCTGGACTTCGTGTTATTACTTAATTAGAATTCCTATTTATAAATAAATAGTACCAGTAAAATATTACATCTGAAGAACCCTGCAATAACATTTTACTTACAACGCTTATTTTTTTTTTTAATACTGTTTTCTGCTTTCAATCACCACAGTTTTGTGTTGGCATCTGGTGTCGGTGTGACCGCTCTGGGGCGAACCAACGGGTACGCATGTCGGTGGCGGGCTTTGCACGGCATCCGGGTTGGGTCGCCGCTGATGGTGACCGAGGTTTGGAAGCTTGGGGGGGTGGGGGCGGCGAGGGGGGCCGGCTTTGTGTTTTATCAGGACGAATATTTGTTTTGGCCTTTTCGCAATGCTTGTCAGCACAGAGCTTGCTCTTCGCTTATCTCAGTTCTGCCCGCGTGTAAACCAGGGCTTTTTAAGTTTTTCAAAGCAAGCTTTCCGGTCGGGAAGCTATAGGCCACATTTCAGCGACAGACGGCTGGACAGACACAGAGCTGGGACGACGGGAGGGCTGAGTAGATAGGAGGCCAGATGGAGCGCAGCGCCATCCCGACCCCCGCGATGACGGGCCGGGCGGGAAACGTCAGACAAAAGCCAGGACACGGGGCACTTTCTCAAGAACATCGCGCGGCAGAGGTAGGTAACTTCTTAGTCGAGGGCAGGGTGGCGAATTTCGGTTTCCGGCGTGGTCGACGCGAAGGGAACCCCACGAATACAGACTGTGAAATGCACTTGCCTCAGACCTCCCCCCCCCACCCCCAAATAAGGGACTGGGTCCCATTAAGAAAACTGAAAGAAAAAAATATATTATCATTTATTATATAACAACGTCAACATGAACACTGAGGCAGGAAAGACTCCCAACTCCACCGTGAGGCTAAAACCCTTCGGTAAAGGCAAAGGCTTTCTGGAGGCCAAAAGAAGGAATCACGGAGGACACCGGGAGGTGGCGTGAACACGGCCGGCAGACGCGCAGGGTGGTCGTGGGGGGTGAGGCGCAGCTTTCTTTTGTTTGTTTCTTTGTCGGTTGGTTGGTTGCTTGGTTGTTTTGTTTTTTTTTTTTTTTGGGGTTTTTTTTTAAGTTTGGAGACGAAACGACAAAGTCACATTTTTCGAATTGTGGTTTCGAGCTACTGATTAGATCAGTGTCCAGGGCTCTCAAGTGCAGACGCGAACACCGTCAAGGAGAAGGGCCACCCGCGGGGGTCCTCTCTGCCACCGTCTCTCCCCCGCTCACCTCCCCCTTACGAAGCGGGCCTCCCTTTAGCTGTTCTCGCTCCACTCGGGCACCATGCCCACCCCGTGCACGGGGGGGTACTGATGTGGGGACAGGGTCCTCGGCACGCCGTGAGGGTACAGAAACTCGGACGGCTGGAGGCCGCCGGGGGACTGGAGGCCAGTCTGAGGCCCGCACTGCCTCCCCACGGGCTGGTGGGCCACGGAGGGCTGGTGCTGGAACATTCCCTCCGCGAGCTGCGGGGAGCCGTGGTTGGCCATGCCGGCCAGCCGGGGGACCAGGGGCCCCGAGGTGAAGTGAGCAGAGAAGTGCTGGTAAGGCAGCCTGTCCACGGGCGGCACCGCGGCGACGGTGCAGCTGCTGTAGGAAGGCACGCTGGGCCACGTGTTGCAGCTGATGTCCTCCAAGCTGGGCGCCGCCTCGCTGGGCGGCACGGAGCTGGCGTACATGCAGGCCTGCCGCTGGGCCGACTCTGTCCTGTAGGAGGCGCTCAGGGCCTGCTGCGGGGGGTAGGCGGAGCGGTAGAAAGGGTCCTCCTCGCTGGGTGACGTCTCCATGTAGGGCTTCTTATACGGATGCTCCGTGGTGGGACATTCTTCATCTGCTAAGATAGGAGGACAGAGACCCGTGAGGCCCCGGGACCAGCCACCCCTCCGTGCTAAAGGCCGAGAGGGATATTCGACCCAAGGACCGAAGAATCAAGTCCGGGAGACTCAGCTCCAACCTCCACTCTGATTTACCAAAAAAAAAAAAAAAAAAAAAAAAAAAAAGAGGGTGGAGGGGCGCCCGGGGGCTCAGTCGGCTGAGCGTCCGAGCGTCCGACTTCTGCTCAGGTCATGATCTCACAGTTCGTGGGTTCGAGCCCCGCGTCGGGCTCTGTGCTGACAGCTGGGAGCCTGGAGCCTGTTTCAAATTCTGTCTCTCTCTCTCTCTGCCTCTCCCCTGCTCACACGCTGTCTCTCTCTCTCAAAAATAAATAAACATTTAAAAAAATGTTTTAAATAAATTAAATAAAAGGGGGGGGAGACCTTGAGCTAAGAGGCTGACCCTTCTGAGCTCAGCTTCATCTATAACATGGAAAGGACAAGAACAACGCTTTTCCACCACTTTTCATGGGGAAGGGAGGCATTGAGAAGGAGATGGAAAAATACAGATGAAACACTTTGTGCGGAGCTGGGTTCCAGGAAAACAAACACCCAGGGACAACGATTACTGTTTTCTTCCCTCTGCTCCGGCACGTACATTCCATAAAGGTGGGACATGGTCTGTGCTACCCACCACGGTCTTCCCAGATTCCAGTACATTCTTAGGAAGCAAAACAGTAACGATGCCCTCGACAGTGACAGTAAAAACGAACACCGGCAGCATTCCCCCTGCCTGTTGCTGTGCCAAGCTCTCTCCGGAAGGCACCGCGTGTGACCTGCTCAACAGCCCTAGGAGGTGGGTGCTGTGATCACCCTCACCCTGCAGCCAGCCAAAAAGAAGGACACAGAGGTCCAGAAAGTCGCCCGAGCTCTAAGTCCCACGGCTGATGAACAGTGGAGCGAGGGTTACGATTCAAGGAGTCTAATTGCAAGTCTCCGCCCTTCAGTTCTGCGTTCCCCGGAAAGACAGGCACCGAATACCCGTGCGACAGATGGGAAGGACAGACGGACACGTCCTGCACACACGACTGGGTGCTCGGACGAATCCCCGGCTACCCTCCCCACGCCTCTGTGAGCAAGTTAATATCCACAGAGCCAGCCCAGCTGAATGTCAGCGCCCTCCCTTCCCCAGACACTAGTTTGTCCCCGGCGCAGGGCAGTGGGCACTTCTGTCCCTGAAATAGGGGTCCCCCTTCACGACTCTGGGGTCACTGCCTCGTTTGGGAACAAAAGTGCGGGGCTGTCTCCTGGAAAAATCCACCGAAACACAAAAGTTTTGGAAACAGCATGTGCTTATTAGCACAGTTTTGCGCACGGATCCCCTAAAATCCAGACCCCGCGTTAAGAAGCGGCGACGTTATCAATCTCATTGTTCTGTTTAATGTGTGCGTGACGCCAACAGCTATCTGCCCTCCCAGAGACTCATTTTTGGCGTCTCCAAATCCGAGTCAATACTACTTACCTCACTGGGCAGCTAAGAATTAAACAAAATTAAGCATGTAAATCTCTCGATAGCTGTCATCAAGATCAGCTCCTGCTGCAACGGGAACACCACCGGTTAGTCTCTCGGCAGACCTAATATAGATTAACACGCCGCCAGGTGTTTCCTTCAGGGAAGCACTATTTGAGAATCTCGACCAAAGTATAAAAACCCCAACACAGATTCATTCCTCAGCTGGAATTTGATCCCCCCTCCCTAAGCCTGGAGATTTTCTGTCTTCATCTCCCAATCTCTTTCGAATCAATAAATGTTAAGAAATATGCCTGTCGTGGGGGCGTCAGGGCGGCTCAGGCGGTTGAGCGTCCGACTTCGGCTCAGGTCACGATCTCACGGTTCATGGGCTCAAGGCCCGCGTTGGGCTCTGTGCTGACAGCCCAGAGCCTGGAACCTGCTTCAGATTCTGTGTCTCCCTCTCTCTCTGCCCCCAACCCTGCTCATGCTCTGTCTCTCTCTCTCTCAAAAATAAGCTCTGCCTCTCTCTCCCAAAAATAAATAAATGTTTAAAAATTTTATAAAAAAGGATGTCTGCTGTTGGGGTGTGAAGAAGAAGGAAACGCAGAAATATTCCTGCACCTCACTGTGATGGGCGATGGCCTGTGGGCCAGGGGGTTGGTGAGGAACGAAACGGGAGGAGATCGGTTACTCTTTATTAAGCACCTCCGAAGTGACCTTACCCTAATCTCCTGGTAGCTCTTCAAGGTGGCCGCTCCCCTGCCTGTCTCAGGGGCAGAAACTGAAGCTCGCTGAAGTGACCTTGCCGAGGTCCCGCAGCCCGGCAAGAGCAGAGGCTGGAATCAAGGCCCGGTCCAGCTTCCTTCACCGGCCACACCTTGTTTCCGGCTCTCTAGATTTCTCACATCCAATGCCGCTCACCCAGTCGTCCAACAGAGATGTACTGAGCCCCTACCAAGTGCCAGGCGCTGGGGGGACAGAGGGGTCAGTCAACGGTCATGGTCCGGCTCGGTGCATGTGGTCGGGGCAGGGGGGGCCGCTCCAGCCTGAGCAGTGAGGCCGGGAGGCTAACAGCCTGTACGCCTGTGCATGGGGGAGGTCTTTGCTAGAAAGTTCCAAGTTACTCATTTCCCCCAAAGTTGAGTCCTTTGGTTTTACACTCCGACAGGATGGCCTGGGTCTGGGTTCCACCGAGCGCTTGCAAAGCTATCGCACTCAGAGTGACACCCACAGGTACAGGAAAAAAAAAACAAAAACCCTGTCCGATCAGAACCCATCTATGCTGGGATCGTACCCGCCTCACAGCAAGCGCATTCATTTTCAGCGAGAATTTTTCTGGGACACATCTGGGCCCCAGAGGACGCCCATGCCTGTGTCCAAAAAAAAAAAAAAAAAGCAAAAAAATGCCGCCCCTCTTCCAGGTGCTTTATCTACATCATGCCAACCGTCCAGATGTTCGAAGACATCAGATGAGCCGGCGGCCACACGTCCACCTTTCCACTGGGCATCTTTCCGGCATCTTGAAGACATTGCTGCACGCGGCTCTTTTGGTCTCCCCCACCTCCTCCCTCGGTCCCATCGTGCCTCCATGCTTCCTTCCAACCCCACCCCCACCCCCGCCACCGGATCCATAAATCTGAATGTTTCCATTGTTGCTAGAATCATAACCTTTGGGTTTTCCATTTAACCAGGGCGTTCCCATTTTCAATAATAAAAAGTACAGCTGCAGGGTACCCTTGGCAAGAGAGAAAAAAAAAACAAGGCAAACTAACCATTCCCGAGTTTCTGATCGCCTTCCAGATTTGTTACAAGTAAAAAGGAAGAATAATATGAAAAAGGCCGGGGCGCATTTTGGAAAATCGTAAAATTACACATTCCAGTCTTTAATAACCCGCAAGATCTGATGCAGAGTCCTAAGGAAAAGCGAGATGCTGGCTCGTTCATGAAAGTGGGTCCTGAACATTCTCGCATTCCTCTCGGACCTCATCACATTGTAAAGAAATTCCAAAGTGTGGATCCAAATGTCAAGCAGGTCGCGATAAATGGTTTGGATGTACTCTCTGTGTCTGTTTCGGTGATGGTTTGATTTCTTTCTCTTTTCTTGCGAGCCTGATAACTGGCCCACAGCGGAGACCTCTTTCCCTGCCCTTCCACGGCCAGGGATGGAGCTGTAGTCAGACATCAGGTCTTCCGTGAGAGGAGCCCAACAGTTCAAGTGCAGAAAGTTGAATAGCAAGAGTGCTCAACTGTATCCCGCCCGTCCTGAAGCCCACCGAGTCTCCTGAATGACAGTAGAGCTCTTGAGGCTGAGTACCGATCACCTCACCACACTGTTGAGACACCCTGGCCCCTTGCGCTTTTCTGGCAGCTTTTGATTCTGATCAAGTGGCTTTGATGATAAATCCAGGACACAGATGTTAGGGCGCAGTCATGGCTCTCCCTGGCTATGTGACCTTGGGCAAACCACGATAGCATTCCCATCTCAGTTTCTGACCACATACGGGGAGGGTACTTAACTTTCTTGGAGGAATGCACAGAAGTGCACTTTAGTTTCTATCTTCCTTGCGCATCAAGTGTCAAATCTTAACTGTCCCGGGAACATGGGTCTACTCTCCTTTCCCTCTGGGAAGATGGGGCAGATGGCTCTGTGAAGGCTGTCCCATGCTGGAGGGTATCTGGGTGGATTTGAGCCGGAAAACTCACAAGTCTGCTTTGAAATCGCTATTCCCATTAAGGGCATATGTCACTGTCCCCAAATAGGTCATTTCTCTTGCTGACTGGGTTCATTCAGATGAAAGACCATGGTGAACAGCCAGTCCTTGGCTGAGTGACCTTCAGCAAGTCAGAAGCAGAACTATAGTTCAGGTTCTCTGAGTCACAAAAGAGTGACTCTTTCAGACAGAGGGCCTAGCCTTTTCGCTTTCATGAAACCCACTGTGTTCAGAAAATATGAAAGGGTGGTAACCTTGACCTGGATGGATAGATGGGTGGATGGGTAGATGGGTGGGTGGGTGGGTGGGTGGGTGGATAGATGGCTGGGTGGCTGGGTGGGTGGATGGATGGGTGGGTGGGTGGGTGGGTGGATGGATGGATGGATGGATGGATGGATGGATGGATGAGTGAGTGAGTGAGTGAGTGGGTGGGTGGATGGATGGATGGACAGAAGAACAGTGTGTATGTACCCATAGTGTTAGCTCTTAGCCCAAAGTGGGAAGGACTAGAATGGTACTGTTGAGAGATCCTCAACTGGGAATCAAAGGACTCCAGTCCACCCCTCACTTAACCACCACCTGAAAATCATTAAATTTATTCCCTTGATTATTATCTTCTCCCCCCCCCTCCCCGTGAATACAGGTTTCACAAGAGCAGGGATCTTGGCCACCTCGCCCTCCTCTTATCCCACATACTCAGCACAGTGCCCAGGACAAAGTAAGTGCTCAACCAATATTTATTTCACAAACGCATCCCAGATCTGCCGCTCACCAGCCACATGACCTTGGGAAGCTAACCCAACCTTTTGGTCCCCTGTTGACCCTGCACAATGTTGAGCCCCGTCTCAGGGGCTACAGTGAGCATCCAAGGAAGGAAGCGATGTGAAATTGCTCTAAAAAGCACATCACGCTAACAAAATGCAGACCCTGCAAAACTATACTCCCTTCTTTTCCCCCTGCCTCTGACTAGCCTTTGAATAGCCAAGGCATTGCTTTAAATCTTTATTTGGGTTGGCTCTGATATCTAAATGGGGGGGGGGGTTGTCAGGGTGGGAGGGGGAAAGAGAGACAGACAAGTGCTCTCCCAGGCCCCAGGGTCCTGGATTTGATTGAGTGGCATTGATAAAAGACTTTCCCCACTTTTTTGGCTCCATCCATCGGGAGAGATAGTTGGGAGACAGCCACGTCCAAACACAAGAAGCCCTCTGGCCGGCCTGGCCCTTTGACATTTCGTTGGGCCTGTCTCCTGGGCTCATTGGAAAGGACACAGACAATGAGGGGAAGTCAGATAGCGGGGGGGGGGGGGGGGGGGGGGGGGGGGGGTAGGCAGGGGCCAGAGGGAAAGCCACCCAGGGAGTTATCACTTTGCGGGAATCCCAAACTGGAAGGAAACCTGGCTGATTCGTTATCACCTTACAATGGAGGCTGATGATGAATTGCTTTCTGTCGTCCCTGAGGCACGCAGGACAGGCAGCGCTTGTCTGGAATGCTGTCCCTGGAAGCGCCCTTTGGGGGGCGGAAGGGGGTGGGAAGGGCAGAGGGCCCCCCCGCCCCCACCACCTCGCCTACCCCCATCACAGCAAAGCGCTTGCTTCAAAACAAAAACCTCTTGTGTCCCTCATGGGTGCCCATCGGCGTCAGGATAAAATCTGAAGTCCTCAAAAGTCCTGAAACCCCGCCTCTCTCTGTCCCCCGTCTGCCTCTACTTCCCTCACTGCGCTCTGGCCGGTGTCTGCTCCCCAGTCGGGGCTGGCTCCCCAGTTCCAAGGGGCTGCCCCCACACCTCTCTCTCTGCCTGGGTCCCCACCCATCTCCCCCCTTCTCCTCTCCAGCTCCTACGCTACAGACCTTGGCTTCAATTCCCCCTGAAACCACCCCCATCCCCCAGCCACCCACCGCCCAGGCATCGGCACTTTGCACATCTCTGTAGCATCAGACCACCATTTAAATCAAAGTTCTATCACCGTAGAGGCTGACATCTGACCTGCCTGCCACCGTGAACTCCAGCCGTGTGCAGTGTGTGGAGCCCTTAGACGCGCGGGGCACCATTCCGGGTGTCTCGCGGGGCCTGTCTCATTCCATCTCATCACAACTCCACAGGGGAGGTGCTATTACACCCGTCCTTTTGCAGAAGAGGTAGTTGAGGCAGAGAAGCAAGGAGCTTGCCCGTGGCCACACTGCCGGAAAGCATCTGCTGCTGTGATGCCCTGCCACACACCGGCCACCACTCCAGCTTTCCCAGGGGTCACCTCGAGGGGATCCTGAGCTCACCTGAGGGCCCCGCCCAATACCCTGCGCAGGTCAGCTGCGCTCATCACGGGGAGAGCCCATATCCCCTTGCATTCAAAGCCTTCCGACTCCACCCTCCAGGAGAAAAAGCATTTACACGGATGCTGCTGTAAATACTGAACCTTAAAAGTACCGTGATGCTTTTTAACTTCTTCCGCCCCTTCTTCTGGTCTGGCATTAATTTAATCGACAGATCTCCCTAATTCAAACCTGGTGAGCTCTTAATCCAGTATGTCTGACCCAGTCTCGAGATCGGACTCTAGCAGAGGATGGCATTTTGAGATCGCAGCTGCTAAGATAAAGGGAACGGGGATGGTCTAGGGTATGTGTGACTCGGAGCTCGGGCGGAGCCTGCTGACCGGGCGTGGGTTCAGATTCTGCCTTCAGGAGCCTTCGGCACATGGTTTTAACCTTTCTGGGCCTCAGTTTCCCCACTTGTAAAGTGGATGAGTAGCAGCACGTACTCAACAGTGTTGCTGGAAGGCTGTGGTGTAGAGCTGAGGCAGGGCACCCTTCAGTACAACACAGAACAGCATCTCCGCGCAGGGACCTGTGTTCCCGGGGACATTCTCAACCCCCTGCTCGTGCCTGAAGAGGCAGACATGTTTGTAGGCATCTGGTCTCCAGCCCAGGCAGCAAGGGGACAGGCTGGGAGTCGGGCCGGGGGGCCCGTGGGGGAGATATTTTTGTTCCGGCCTTTGAGATCCAAGGAACGTGGCTGGGCTTCGGGTTCAGTCTGGAAAACAGCCTCACCCGGATCGGCACCCCAGCCCCAGGCTCAAACCAACGATGGCCTTTCTCACCTTCAAAACACGAGCTCAGTAGACGTCAAAAAGTCTGTGGGACTTTCCTCAAGGAACCTCAGCTCCAAGAGAACTGCCGAAGCATTTGTTTCCATCAGTTGTTAGGAAGCTGACTTTTTTTTCATAAAAGAAGTTCCAGACACTGGGCACTGGACCTCCAAAGGCACCGAGCTGGCTACTGAGGCTGAGAGACACAACAGACCACTCTGAAGACTAAGGTTTGGGCCTCCTGGAACCAACCAGTGACTGCGTATTGGGGTCAACCTTGAGCTAATATGACAAGCACAAGGGTGCCTGGGGAGCTTAGTCGGTGGAGTGTCTGACTTTGGCTCGGGTCATGATCTCTCGGTCCATGAGTTCGAGCCCCAAGTCAGGCTCTGTGCTGAGCTCAGAGCCTGGAGCCTGTTTCCGATTCTGCGTCTCCCTCTCTCTCTGCCCCTCCTCCCCTCACACTGTCTCTGTCTCTCTCAAACAAATAAAATAAAACTTAAAATATGTATATATATATGACAAGCACAATTTCACATCTTCACACCAAGCCTATGGAACAGATCTAATCATGAGCCCAAATCTATAGATTAGAAAAAATAAGGCTTAGGACAGTTAAGACACGTGCCCCTAATCATAAAAACTTGCAAATGGCAAAGGTAGGATTCATCCCAATTGTATGTGGTCCCCTCCCTCCCGTATCTGCTTTCTCAAGGCTTCACGCAGATGGGAGCCTTCCCATCTCATGGACGGGCTTCCTGCAGCGATAACCACAATCAGGACTAACACCTGCTGGATGCTCACTGAGGATCGGGCGCTCTCAGGAACTCGGCACCGTTTACAAAGCGAGAAACCGAGGCCCAGAGAGACACCTGGCTGAGGTCACACAGAAGCTGGCGGCAGACCTGAGAGTCGAGCCTGTGTCCTCTGGCCCCGTTGCCCACGCTGTCCCTGCAGTGCCTGTCTGCTGTTCACACAAGCAACTGCTCCAGTAAAGCGTCTGGCTCAAAATAGATGCCACCAGAAACTCCCTTCGGTATTAGAGCCCTGGACTCAAATGACTGAGGAAAAGTCCCCCATTTCTCATCTGGCCAGGAGAACTACGAAAGGTCTCAGAGAATTCAAACTAGATTTAAAGACAAAATGCAAAGGAGAGAAAAAAAATCAGTTGTGATTGTTTTCTTTTTTTTTTTTTTTTTTGGTGTTGATTTTGATCTAGAAAGACAAGAAAATCCACCCACCCAGGAGAAGCCGCGGCACATAAACCAAAGCACATCCAACTGGAAGAGGGCTCCATGCGGCATGGCTCGCATAACACAATCGGAAACACAGTGTCCACCAGTGGGGGTGGAAAAATAAATGCTGCTTCACCCTTTTGAGGCAATACTTTCCCTCCGGCAACTAAAAACCACGAGGCAGCTCTAGGCTCATGAAAAGATCGTCCATGGCGTATTCTGGCGTTTAGGAAATGCCAAGTTGCAAAACATGGCATAATATCAGCCGTTAAAAGAACAAATGATTATTTTTATGTCTGTGTGCGCATGCATGAATCAAATAAGACTGGACACTTCAAATACGTCTTCCCCAAAGAAGGGGCCAGAACTGGAAGAGATGTGTCAAAGGAGATCCTTTAGTTTTATAGATACGGTTTGAATTTCTTAGAACCTCGATGTATTTTTATATTGCTTATGTTTTTTAAATAAACAGACGTAGTTATGTGTGCTTCCCACCCCCACCCCCCCAGCAAGGAAAGGAAGGAAAAACAGAAAGGCAAGGAGGGTCTGGTCTCACCTTTCCTCTTGGTACAGTGATAAATCTGGCCGTGCTCCTGGGGCAGCGGGTACGGGTTGGGTGGGGGCAGGAGGTCTTGGGAGGGGCCGGACACGCCATTCTCGCACTGGTACTGGGACCCCAGGTTGGACGAGGTGGAGAGAGCTCGTGGCTCGCTGCTGAAAGGGCTGTGGTTGGAGGCTACTTTTTGTCTCACTGTGCTCCTGGGGACCACAGGATATTCTTTACTGAAAGAGAGAAGATAGGAAATACTGTCGATCAGTGTCCCCAGCACAGATTCCCCTCCCCGCCGAACTGGCTGAACCACGGGGTCCAAGAACCCACCAGAAACGTGTTGGAGAATAAGAAACAAAGGAGCCTTTGATGAGTGAAGGGATGCAGTTATAGTCAAGTGTATCAAATACCACAGACGTCTACATTTAGGTAGTAACTTTTCATGCTTTATACATTAGGCAAGTAGGTTTATGTATATAGTTCCGTGCGTATATTGAAAGTTAAATGAGCACCTCCACTGAGGAACCATCTTCATGATTGATAAACATACAGCATTTTAGAATATTTCAGTCTATTGCGTAGGTCTCTGAACTCCCTAATTCAAAAGTTAAAAGAGCCGAGCAGTCTGTCACTTAGACTCAAGAACTTTGGTCACAATAGGGGCGCCTGGGTGGCTTAGTCGGTTAAGCGTCCGACTTTCGCTTAGGTCATGATCTCGCGGTTCGTGGGTTCGAGCCCCGCGTCGGGCTCTGTGCTGACTGCCAGCTCAGAGCCTGGAGCCTGTTTCAGTCTGTGACTCCCTCTCTCTCTGACCCTCCCCTGCTCACGCTGTCTCTATCTCCTAGAAATAAATTAAAAAAAAAAAAAACATTTAAAAAAAATAAAGAACTTTGGTCACAATAAACACTTGCGGGTTTCCATCTTTAAAACAGCGCTGAGGTCTTTGTTCAGCCTCAGGAAAGAAGTGGTTGACCATCTAGGACAGTCAGGAATGACCCAGACTACCCTAATCGGAGTAGGTTGCTGCCTGTGCCTTAGAATTCCTTTCCGAGCTGCCGTACTCGTCACCACTGACATCATATTTAACTTCCCCTCCGTGCCTCAGTTTTCCCATCTGTGAAATAGGATCGTACAAATCCCCAGCTCAAAGGGCCATTGAGAGAAAAAGAAATGCATGCATGTGACAGTAGCTGGCACATAGCGAGTGCTCAACAAATGACCACCGTCGTCGCTACTGCGGTCGTTTTGAGCGAGTAGGAGAGAGAGAAAAGGAGAGGGAAGGGGGAAGGAAGAACCGGACAAAGGAAACAGAGAACAGAGCATGGGATCTAAGAGTAGGCAGACCCAGATCCAGGCCCTACCTCCATCGCGTATAGACTGTGTGCCCCCCAGAGCTCAGGTGTCACAGGGGGAAACAGAAGAAAATCCTGTGACACCCTATGAACAGCACCCTCCCAGGTGCTCAGCATCTTGTTTCTCACACTCTTCTGACTCACACCCTCCACATCCCCTTGCCTTCAGCTTTCACACCAGGAATTCCCACTCTGTTCCTCACAAGAGCTTGGGAATTTCACCAGGAACCTCTCCTGGGAATTAAAACTTTTTAAGGTGTTAATAAATAATTAACTCTAAGTTTTGTAAAGTTTACTTTTGAGAGAGAGAGAGAGAGACAGAGCACGAGTGCAGGAGGGACGGAGAGAGGGGGAGACACAGAATCCAAAGGAGGCTCCAGGCTCCGAGCTGTCCGACATGGGGCTCGAACCCACGAACCGTGAGACTATGACCTGAGCCAAAGTCGGACGCTTAACCAACTGAGCCCCCCAGGCGCCCCGATAATTACTTTTTAAAGAGGGAGAATTGAGAGGAGCATCTGCACTCATAAGAGAGTAACAGTCTGACCCCCAAAATGTGCTCTTCCATGCAGGGACAGGGCTGCCAACGTTTGGGGCGGGAGAGGAAATCGGGGACAGGAAAACCCCAATTACAGTGTGCAGGCTGGTGAAGGGGCGATCCATCACATCCTTACTGGAAGGCAACTGGACAGCATCCATTTTTTTTTTAATATACAATGATGCAGATCCAGCAATCCAATTACTATGAATTTTCCTAAGAAGTTGTCCAGGCCAATGTGTAAAAAGACATAAGCACAAGGTTTTTCTCTACAGCACAGGGAAAATTAGAAATGGTCAAAATGCCCCCACCGATGGTTAAGTAACATGGGCATAGCTGAGCGATGAAATATTACACAGACTTAAAAAAGAATGAGGAGGGGCGCCTGGGTGGCTCAGTCAGTTAAGCATCCGATTTTGGCTCAGGTCGTGATCTCACAGTTCACAAGTTCGAGCCCCGCGTCAGGCTCTGTGCTGACAGCTCAGAGCCTGGAGCCTGCCTGGGATTCTGTGTGCGTCGCTCCCTGCCCCTCCCCCACTCATGTGTTTCCTCTCTCTCTCTCAAAAATATATAAGATATTAAAAGACAAAATAAAAATATACGAGGAGACTTTATATACATGGATTCAGAAAGCTGTGCAAGATGAATCAAGGCAAGAGAACCCAGAACAGGATTGTAATGATGAAATGATTACCGGCAGTTCCGTCAGGAGCTGGGGGCACGGGAAAGCTTTCAGGGCACGTACCACTGTGTGCATGCCTGAAAGTCCCAGGGGAAAGCCCCCCTTAGTCAAGGAACAAAATGAAGATGAAGCTATTAATAGCTCCTCCCCCATTTTCCCCCCAAGAAGAGCACTTGCAGGTGGGGGCGGGGGGAGGTCAGAACAGGATATGAATCTGATCCGAAGTCATCTGCGAATGCAGAAAAGCTGCTACTTCCAGCGAAATGCCCATTCTTCATTAAAAAACAAAACAAAACAAAAAAAAACACAACGAAACAAAAAACCAGAAAGGAGTCTTCCACCCCACCAAGCCTGTAGCACACCTGGCCCAATGTCCTTCCCAACTCTGTCACCTGGCTAAGCCTTAGTTTCCCCATCTGTGAAATGGGGAAAACACAGACGGTACGGAGAAGCCACAGCATTCTGCCCTTACCTCCTCCCTGCACCCTCCCTCCCCCGACACCTTCCTGTCCCAGAATAACCCACTGGCCTCTGAGTTCTACTTAGCTATTTCAGCATCTGGCTGGAGTGGAAAGACTGAAAGCTTTGGCTTCAGGAAGCTATGTGTTCTCTAGATCTGTAATCTCATAGCTGTGTGACCTTGGATGAGGCACCGAACCTCTCTGAGACTACGGAGAAGATCCCACAGTATGCCCTGGAAGATACCTGGCACTTAGTGGGAACTATGGTTACGCCTTTACAAAATGGCTCACACTTTCAGCCCACAATACTTCCCAGGAGGAAGCAGCTCCGTAAGCCTGACTCCTGAACTCAGAGATCCTTACTCGCGGCAGTGGAGGGGGTATGGAACTTAAGGGGCTATATTTGGATTTTTTAAATGACGTCTTTATTTTCGCTAATCTTGAATTGACACTGAGCGTCCCTTTCTGTTAAAAATGTAGGCAACCGGGGGTGCCTGGGTGGCTTAGTCGGTTAAGCATCCGACTTTCGCTCAGGTCATGATCTCGCGGTTCGTGGGTTCAAGCCCCGCGTCAGGCTCTGTGCTGACTGCCAGCTCAGAGCCTGGAGCCTGTTTCAGAGTCTGTGACTCCCTCTCTCTCTGACCCTCCC